TAAGGACAACATTAAACAATGGCGCAAACTGAAGAAATGTCTATCGGTGCTGTGGAATACGTGTGACATCAACTCTGACATCTGCCAGGATGTGTGCAATGTAGGTCTCATATCAATTATGTTGCATGCTCTCTCGACTGTCTCGAACACCAAGTACTCAGATGACGACAAGAAGCAATATTATATAAAGTCCATTCTGGGGATCCTGCACAATGTTGTCCGGCATAACAGTGATGGCCGTCTTCTGCTGCGTGAGTCGGGTGGAGTTCGAGCCTTACAGCAGCTTTTTAAATCTGAACTTGAGATGATCCGCGCCAAATCTTTGATCGTTCTCTCATACATTGTCGATGAGACAGAGAGTGAATTGCTCAACTCAAATAGTCAACTGCTCAGTTTCATTCTGGACATTTTTGACCGAGCGCTCAACTCGCCAAACCATTTTAGCAACAAGTACGGAATGTGTGTGACTGAGATTCTGCGAGGACTTTTCAACTTATCGGCGAGTGATGTCAACAAGGTGCAATTGGTTCAGAATGGTATCCTGACATTCTATGTGCGTCTACTGCAAGAGGAAGTGTTGTCTGATGCAAACCCTCTGTCAGAAGAAGAGATCCTTTTAGTAATCAATGGACTATGGGCTTTATCATTTAATGGCAAAAATAAATCCCTCATCCAAAAAGAACCTGGATGCATCGAAGGTAGGTTTAATTCTTTTTTGTTTTATTTTATATAGTTTTGATTAATTCAAGTTTATACATTAAAATTCCAGTAAGGTAAGATCAGTTGCTTTTTTTGGATTTTTCTTTTAGCATTTGGTATATTAAACTAAAATCTCTGGGCACATAATGAGGAAAGAAGGCTTGGAAAATTTGACACTCACAGTACATATTGAAAGTGAAAAGCAGCACATAACCTACCTAATGAGCTTGTGTAAATGGATGGCAGAACAGGATTTAGCAAAACCCCAGAATTTATTATGAACTACAAAGGCCAGGAATATGTGGAGTGCTATGATCACCCATGGACTTAAGGGGTATGGCACATAGATAAAGAAGAAGAAAGCAGAATAATGCCTACTTGTGTGTGCAGAAGATTGAGATTTGTGTTGCCATTATATGAAGAAAAATAAACATTAAAAAAATTAATACTGGTACAAGACAATGAAAATGTAATAACTTGTTTATTTAATAACTAAAATTTTATTGCAACATTGTGATGCATGTTGAAATCTTTACGATATTTAGTATTGTTAAAGTTATTGCTAACATTTTTTATTAAGAGTTACAAACTCTGTTTTGTTCAATTTTGCAAACCAATTGATAAAATTTGAATAAGCTGATTTGTTTGGAAAAATACTTTGACAAAAACCCTACTTCAAGGTTTAATAATTTCTTTAATTTCTTATGTATATAAAAACTTAAAGAAAAGATATACAAAAACAGTATTGTATTTTTATTAAATAAGTATTTGTTATTTTAATATATTTTTTAAAATAGTGGGATTATTTTGTATGTTAAATAATAAAACTTTTAATTTTCCCAAAAAATGAATGAAAATTTATTTTACCAAGCTATGCACCCTAGTAAAACCAACTGTACTTTGTACCCCCTTACTTGTTTACACTTCTCTCCAAAATTTAGTCATGTATGGCTATCTTAGAGGGTGTGATGGATGGACTGACTGAAAGAAATCACTGGATTTTATAGGTAGATTAATTAATTAATAATAATTTAATTTGTTGAATTTGTTGTCCATATAAATAAAAAAAAATGATAAAAAGTTATCTGATGCATTCATTTGGTGCTGCTCTGTGAAATCATATGGGAAAAGAGATATCAATAAGGAAAAATTTTCAAAACCAAAATGAATATTTTATTAAAAAAGTAATTAAAAACATTTGAAACCAAAAACATTCTTGTTTTATTTTCTGTTTGGGGGAATAAGTTTACACAGTTTTCAGTTGTTTTGATTTCTCTGGGGATATACCTTTAAAAATGTAAATATTATTAAAATTTAAAAAAAATGAAAGATCAGTTAGTATTGGCTTTAACTTTAAGTATTTTTTTTTTCTACAAAATTCCTTTTTCATAAATTAATTCATTAATAAATAAATAAGTATCCAAAATATGTGTGTGCTGGTGGCCATTATTCTGCATATTAACCTTACAAATGTTACATCACATGTCTAGTAATCTGTTAGGCTTGTAGGGGCACCATATATACTGCACCCATAGCAGCAGTGGTGTGTCTTGGGAAAGACAGCCTGATGGAGCCTTGCCCTCTTCAGACTGGTTTTGAATTCAGTTTTCCTTCTCCTGAACTGGTTGCCTCTTCAATGCAAGAGAATCCAGTCAGTCCTGTTATTTAACCCTTAGTTGAGGGAGAAGAGATGGATTCCTAACTCACCTTTCCAATTTCTTTTTCCAAATCACTAATCATTACACCACTTGCATGTCTGAAAAATTTAGTACTTGTTTTTGATTATTTTATCAATGTGTTTAACCATCAAAATATTGACAAAATGATGTTTACTTTTTTTTAAAATGAATTTTGATGACTCACAAGTAAAAATCTTTGCTATGCATATTTGTGAGAAAACTTAAATATGTGCATATTAAAAAGGTTATTTTTTCTTTTTTTTAATTATTTCACCCCAAGTAAGGCAGTATCTAGCCCCCCCCCACGAGGGTTGCATGTGGCACAAGGCCGAGTTTTTACATGGGTTTCCCAAGCCCGTAGGCTCAGCCAAAAAATGCCCGTATAACCCGAATAAACGAGATCGGGTTGGTCATTTCTCCCCGAACGAGACTCTGCCCTTCGGCGGAGCCTCGTCCGGGTTCCTTTCTGCTCAGAGGCAGAAAGTTCGACCGTCAAGTCGAGAAGCTCGGCTTGATTACCCCAAGTAAGGCAGTAAAGCCATTAAGACACAAGGGGTTACTGTGTACAAAAGAATAAGAAAAAAGAGAAACATTATTAAGGAGTGAGAACAATAAGAGTAATCAAGAAGACAGTAGATAGTGATTGCCATTGCATTTAAATGTTTGAGGATCAAAGTTGGCTGGAAAGCATGGAGCCAAAAGAGAGTTCCACAAGTGAGAAAAGAAACTATGAGCATAGAACTTACGGTTACATTTAGCCAGTCCAATTGTAAATTAATGAGACTTTATTGCCAATCTAATACTGCATTTAAATTCACTTAAAGTCTAGGTACCATAGCAGAAGATACATCAGAACAATTATCATGAAAGTATTTATATTCAGCCCAGGTACAGTGGTGGGAAAGTGACTGAAGCCAAGATGTCAGGCAAAGATCAATAATAATGTGGATTCTTCCTTGGATTTTATTAAGAATTTCTAAATATATAACAAGAAGACCAGACCAGACCAGATGTGGCAGCAATATTCAATGCATGCATGAATGGTAAATTTATAAATATATAACATAGATTCTGGAGAGAAAAAATCACCTAGCATGACACAGTAAACCAACTTTCTTAATAACAGCAATTAATTCAATTGATTCAATATAATCTTTCCACTTCATGTCATAAGAGAATTTTAACCCAAGAAGGTGCAATGAGTCACTCTCCTGCAGATTAGCATTGGTTATACTAATGTAAGTTAGAAAGGGGTCTTTCAAATGATTAATAGAGAACTTGACTATTTAGTGAAAACTAAAGATATATTGATAAGTTGTCATAGAAGTTCTTATCTTCTATGTGTTGTGTCCCTTCATGATGTTGGTGATCATGGCTCTCCACAATTTCCTGCCTGTTTTTGTTATCTCTCCTAAACCTTGAAGCACCATCCATTTTTTCAAGCTTGCTTGATACGTTATGTATTGTTTTCCTCTCTCTTGCCTTTTGTCTGCCCAAATCTTTGAAGCCATCTTTCCTCATTATGTATCCTAGAAATTTCAACTATCTCTTTCTAATGTTAAGTATAAGTTTTCTCTTTGTTTTCCTTTTGCCCATTGCTTACATGTTCACTCAATGGTAATCTCAGCATCCTTCTATAGAACTACATTTCTGTTCCTTTAAGTTTTATGTCCAGCATTCACTGTCATGTAGGAGGACTGATATTACATAACAGTTCTGTACTGTTTTCTTTGTTTCTTAATATTTTGCTTAGAAGTTTTTAAAATTTCAGTACAAATAACATTTTCAGCAAGACATTTATTATTTTCTTTTTATCATTATGCTAAATACAATTGAATTTCCCACTTGAGACACAGCTTCACAGAGCTGACCATGCAAGAAATATATGAAATAAAAAGACAAAATTTAGCCTGTTTGAATTTCAAAGATGAGACGTTATCATTGTTTGCATGGGGACTATTGTCTTCATCTTTGTTGATATTATCACAGTATTTTGGGTGGGTGCATGTAATGAGAACAGTAGTTCCTTAGGAGGCACGGTGGAGTAATGGATAGCAGTTCGGATTGAGGAATTGGAGAGCTGAGTTTGAATTCCATTACATTCACTTACATGCTAATACCCTTGGGAAAGGTATAAATCCTCTTCTTACCCACACACCCCAGCTATGAGCAAATAACAGGACAGACCTGGTTCTATAGCCTTGGATGGCAACTGGTCTACTGCAGAAAGAAATGATAACCTACTGATGCAAAAAATCTGCCTCATCAGTCATGTATCCAAAGATACATGATCGCCTAAGCATGTATCACGCATGGTACATAATTGACTGAGTTCCTTAGATTGAATAATTGATTTATTTATTTTTTGCAGATTATCAACCTTTTACAGGTTATTTAAAGCCAGAAAATATTTTTAGTTTGTAAGAATCTTTTGGTGATAATATTGACTTACTGATACCAGTCTTACTAATTAACCCAGTTTGAGGGAGAAAAGGTGGATTCATGCATTTCTGAAGGTTATTTGCATATTTAGTGAATGTAACAAAACCAACTGGAACTGAAATTTGGTTATTTGATTTCCAATTCTGAGCTGTTATCCAATATTCCACATGCACATCCGAGCTTACAACACCTGGAATTTCCAAGCAGTCACCCATCTAGGTACTGACCAGGCTGAATATTGTTTAACTTCAGTGATTATATGAGAACCAATGTTTCAGCATCATATGGACATAAGCACCATAGATTAAATAAAGGTTTCAACATCTATCTATATTTCTGAGAATAACTATTTACATTATTTACATTTTTTAAACTTTTGTTTTCATCTTTATTGCCATATTCACAATGTTTCAGCCATTGTACATTCTGGCCTTCTTCAGGATCTGTCTATATTTCTGAGATGAGGTATTGTAACTTTTTACACTATTTACATTGTTTGGGCTGTGGCCATATTCATGATGTTTTGTTGTACATTCTGGCCTTCTTCAGGTAATATTTGTTGGAATAATCTGCCCTCATTGACTAAATCAAGGGTTTGATTCAACATTCCAACAAAATATCATATGAAGAAGCCCAGAGTATACAATGGTCGAAACAACATGAATGTGGCAATAATGATAAGGACAACAGTCTGAACAATGTAAATAGTGTATATGTTAGAAATTCCCTAAAGATTACTTGGATTAACAAGTACACTTGTATTAATTTCTGACAATTGACAGTCATTATCTGTCTATATTTCACTGTGCCATGTGTCCTAAAGGACAGTGGATAAAGGCATTGGTTAGATCCTGTGACAGGACTCAAAGAGTGTGAGTTCAATACCCAGTTAAGGCAGTGGAGAACTTGGAGAGGGGAATTAACAGAAGATAACTGATAACTGACATCCATTAAACATGGCACGTGGAACTAGAACAGTCTACCCCAGTGAGCAAAATAAAGGGTTCAGTTTGACATTTCAACCACCTGAAGAAGGCCAGAGCATACAACGGCTGAAATGTTGTAATAAATATGGCAACAAAGATGTGAACAATAGTTCAAATAATGTAAAAAGTGACAGTCAATTTATTCCTTAGCATATTTTCTTGTGTATAATATGACTTGAGTATTTTTTATCATTTCATGCAAAGCAATATAGTGGGCTACAGAGAGTGAAAGTGATAAAGAGTGGGAAAACTGAGATTAGGGAGGATTGAGGAAAGAACAAAAAAAGAACAGAAAATGGCAATTATTGTTGCATGTAAATTTTTAAAGGTTTTAGTTATCAAGGAAGCAAGAAATCGGAAAGGAGTTGCACAGGTGAGGAGTGCGAGAAAAGAAACTGTTAGAGTAGAAGTGCCAGTTGCATTGAGCTAATTCAACAGTAAAACAGTGAGACCTAGTTGCCAATCTAGTAGTACGCTTAAATTCATGTAGTTGCGATACCAGGGAAAAAAGTTCATCAGAGAAGTTGCCATGAAAATATATTTGTAGAAAAGACATGGGTGAGAAAGTGACTGAAGTCGAAATGCCTGGTTAGGACTGATTACATTACAGATCCTTCTTTGGATTTTGTCAAGAATCTCAAGATGTACAGCATGAGCACCAGACCAGATATGGCAACAGTATTCACTGCACAGACAAATGGCAGATTTATAAATGTGCAAGATGGATTCTGATGAGAAAAATTTTCTGGCATGACACAGTGAACCAACTTTCCTTGCAGTAGATGAAGCAATTGATTCGATATAGTCACTCCACATCATGTCAGTGGAAAATGTGAGGTCAAGAAAGCATACTGTATTGCTCTCCTGATGGCAGGCAGGAAAAGTTCTGTATGGTGATTAAATGAAAGCAGTTTTGTTTTGGTGGTGTTAAAATTTACAAGTCATTTCTTGCCCCAGTTAGCAACTGATTGGCGATCTGCTTTAAGAGCATTTGCCACATTTAATTTGTCAGGTCTGTTAGATTTGTTACTAAGACAGGAGTAAATGGTTATGTTATTTGTATAAATACCTAGTTGGAAACTGATGACATGGAGGAGATCATTGATGAACAAGATGGGTGTGCTCTCTTTTGTGAAATACTTTCATCACCACTTGAGGGATCAGAGCTCATGGGTTCCTCATAATCTTCTAAAATGAGACCATGTTTCTGTTTCTTCAAAGTCAGTTGAAGTGTCCTGAGGACAACTCTCACTTAGGTTTGTGAGTCATGATTCATCTCCTGTTGGAGCCAAGTCTCTTAGTGAAACTGTTTCTTTCCATCCTTCAGGGTAACAGACATGCACATACTGAGGGTTGGCATTTGGAATCTGCACTTGATCCAGTGGTTCATTCTTATTCAGTTGCATGTGTTTTTTTAGTAATAACACTCATGGTTTCAAGAGCCAAGATGGTAGGGATGCTCCAGTTGAACTTCTAGGAAACAGGAGGAATCATTCATGACATGTTGCATTAGTGGCTGTGCATAGCGGCATTCTAATTGCATGCAGGGCCTCTGTGAGTAATTGTTTCTAATTCTTTAAAGATACCTCTTTATCAGCAGCTGTTGAACAGTTTTCCAAATTATTCCATTATACCTTTTGCACTGGCCATTACCTTGAGGGTTATATGGGGTTGTTCTACTTACGGCTACTCTTTACTCTTGTAAGAATTGGTGTATGCATTTGGACATAAATGAAGCCGTTCTATCCAAATGAATATATACCAAAGATGACAAAAACTGAGCAAAGTGCTTGTATGACCATTGTAGAGGATATATTGCAGCAGGGTATTGTGAAAGGAAACTGCAAACATTTGTCAATTATTGTCAGTATATATTTGTTTGGTGTTTTTGATGGAAATGGCCTTTAAAATCCAATGTGATTCTTTCATAGGGTTGCATAACTTTTATGACTTTGCTGGTGTTAGAATGGTAAAACCTAGGTTTATTTTCAACACAAGTCTTACATGAGTTGGTAATTTCTTTCACATCCTTACTGGGTAGGGAAGGTTTTTGATTTTCATCATATGGATGATGTGCGTAATACCAGGGTGGCACAACTCTCCATGTAGTTTCTTTAACTCTTCTCTGCAAGCAGCCAAGCTAAATACACAAGAAGAGGGTGTTCACAGTTGCATTTTCTTTACCTGGGTGGTATTCCTGAAATTGAGTGTTCACTTGCATCAGTTGTTAATACCATTTCCTTTCTAGGGTCAAATATTTTTACTACTAGTTTCTTTGCCAGAGCAGCTTTTAAATTTTCAAATGACTCTTGTTCTTTTTGTCCAAATAAATTCTACATTCTTTTTTCTTAAAGCAGCAAAAGGTTCTGTCAATTTGGAGTATCGCTCTACATATTGTCTGTAGAAATTTACAATTCCTAGGAAAGATTCTAATTCTTTTGTTCTTAGGTACTTCTACATGTGGAATGGTATTCCCATTCACATACTCAGTATCAAAGTCAAATGCCCTTAACATTAAGGCCCATCTTAGAATTCTAGAAGACATTACCTTAGGAAGTTCCTTTCTGGGATTAAATATGAATTTTAAAGTCCTATAGTCGGACCTTAGTAGGAATTTCTTTCCATTTTGAACTGATGAAATCTATTTATCGTCCATATTATGGCTAACACTTCTTTCTCAATATTTGAGCAGTTCAATTCAGCTTTTGACAATTTTCTGGAAATATACATAATAGGATGAGCATCCTGAGCTAATATTCCCAAACTTGACTGTTCACTTGCATCAGTTGTTACTACCATTTCCTTTCTAGGGTTAAATATTTTTACTATTGGTTTCTTTGCCAGAACAGCTTTTAAATTTTCAAATGTCACTTGTTCTTTTTGTCCATATAAATTCTGCATTCTTTTTTCTAAAAGCAGCAAAAGGTTCTGTAAATTTGGAGTATCGTTCTACATATCGTCTGTAGAAATTTACAAGTCCTAAGAAAGATTTCAATTCTTTTGTTCTTAGTTACTTCAACTTTTAATATTTTGTCAATTAACGTTTGGTCTGGTGATATGTCTTTGTTAGATATGGAATATCCCCAAAGTGATATTGTCATCCTAGTAGCATATTGAATTTTTTATATTGTTACCAATAACTTGTTCTATAGGCCTTTGAAAAATCACACTTCCATCTTAACAAACCTATTGGAGTGTTTATTGTTGTGACTTAGATCAATTTTGGAGAATGTCTTCATACCCACAAGGTAGTTCAAACACCATTTTACATTGGGGATAGGATATGAGTCTACACATATTTTGTGGTTTACCTCTATTTTGTAGTCACCACAAATGTGCATATCCCCATCCTTCTTTCTTAAAATTACTGACAGGAAGGCCCATTTGCTCCTTCCTTTTGCAGAACTCATTCAAGTAGATCTTGTTCCAGTAATATTTTTAGTTTTTCCATAACTATTGGTAGTAGATAGACTCGCACTTTTTGCGCATTAAAATATGAAAGGGGACATTTTCTTTTAGTCTTAACTTTGCTTCATAATTTTTTTAACATTCCAGTTTCTTATGTCTTGATTTTGTTTACTAATTTTATCGAATTTCCTGTTAAACCATGATTCTTTTTACTGTTTGCCATGATAACTTATTTTTTAGTTCCATGTAGGCTTCAAAATAGCCTAACGTTTTTATCACAGATTGAACAAGGTTTTTTTTTAATCTTGATTTTTCTAATTTCTTTCAGAAATTTCTTGGTATCAGCATCACATCACATCACATCACTTCCTGTATCTAGTTGCATGTCTAATAAAACATTATTGATTTGAATTTTTAATAACCTTTTTCCATTTCATTTTATTTTCAATGAAAAGACATCCATACTTATTTCCTCTTCATTTTGTTGGACTATCTCTATGATTTTCTTTTTGAAATTACACATACATTTAAAATGATTCATTTTGAAACACTTTTCCCATTTTTTTATATACTGGACATTTTTGTTTTTCTCTTTGATGTTGGCATCCACAAAAGGTACACCTCATTATTTTATTTTTTTTCTTTATGGTGTATGCATCCATTTCCTCTATCAGATCTGTAAATTTGTTCTGTTAAATTTTTGAATTAATTCTTGTTGGTGAACAAATTTGAAACACTGTTCTAGTGACAACTTTGCAAGTTGTAAATGCATTTAGAATCATTTTTGCTGATACTCCTCATTTTGAAAGCCATTTAATAATTTTATTTGGATAAAATCCTCTTGAATTGACTGGTTTTCCAATTCCAGTTTCTCAAATTCAGGATATATAGTAGCC